AAACAACCAAAACTAATATTTTTGGCCATTTGGGAAATCAAATAGATCAAAAATGTGACCTAAAATTTCAAAATTATCAGGAAGACCCCCCTCTAAAATGACTAGGAGAACACGCTGTTAAAATTTTTTAACATATTTACGGAACACCCTGTACAATCTTTAATTTTTTTAATATTAATTGCTGCAACTTTTTGGCGATTGCGCATTTATTGTATATGCAAATGACATTGGTTTGTAATAAATATTCTCAACTATTTCATCATAATTGAGCTAATGTTATTGTCATAACTCGTAGTATAAAACTAGCAATACAAAAGTTGGTTTCAAGTTTTACATTAATCGGTTAAGTTTACATTCACAAGTTAATTTACTCGGTGCACACCAATTGATTGTTAAGTTATGCAGTTGCCTGTAGCCGAACGGTCGAAGTCCAATTAGCTTATCCGGGTTCCTCAAAAATGCATTAAACAATTAGCAGGGTCTCGTTTTTGGTAATTAACATCGTGGCATTTCCGTAATTGAGTCAAAGGACGTCGCATTTCAAAGTGTCTAATTTAGGAACGTAGTAATTAAGAGCCCGCCGTTACCCGTAAGTTCGAAATGTAGTCGAGAAGGGTAATAAGAAGAGTCTTTAGGCCCGTTTTAGTACCTTTACATCAATTGCTTCGGTGGAAATTGAACTAAATCAATGAATTAGCTTAATTATCTCTCAAGTTTTACCATTTCACTAGCATAATCTTTTAGACAATCATTTTATTTGGCACTTGACGTTTCACAAATTTGAAAATTTACAGTAAGTCCATTAAAATATAATAGCATTTATATATAAGGTCGATTTTCCTAGATAAAGTGATATCAGTTTTTACTGGACATGCACAAACAATCCTGGACATGTCCGGGCATTTGGTAAAACTGACTGCTTTCAGTTCCTAAAGCATTTGTTTCAGTGTTTTGTCTCGAATTAGCCGATTAATTTTCCACTTGCTCAGCTTGCAAGATACCTAGTTATCTGTTGTTTCAAAGTGCTTATTCCGGTTATTGATTGAAGAAACTGGTGAAATCGTAGGCAAATGATAAAATTTTAAATAATTAAATAAAAAATTAATTAGCTAACATGAAGCAAATGCCAATTGGGCTCATTCCATCAGACACTATTTTATTAGGACTGTTAGATTAATTAAGGTATTATAAAATTGCCCGGTTACATCGTCTGAGCTGTAATGTAAATCCAACAAGAAAAAGACAGTTGACATATTTGCAATTCGGAATAATTTACATATCAAGCAAGCTAATAGAATGTTGTAATTATATGATATCGGAAAGCAATTTAGCCCCATTCAGAGCAATGCCAAGAGATAGCGAACGGTAATGCAAAGCGAGTCATATGTGTTATGAGGAGCTATAACGGTGCAATTATAGCAGTCGAGGGTTATTAGTGCACACTTAGGTAGTAGACACGTACCTCCAAAATTCGGAGAGGCATGCCGATTCAATAATAATGAAGCTGCTAATGAAATTGGTGGATGTGAATTCGATCCCATCAAGATTTTCAATAGCAGTACTGATGAGCATTAGTTACATATATTGGTATTAACGTTGTTCCTGATTTAATTATTGGTCGAGTTGCATGGAGTATTTGACTTTCCATTACACCATTTACAAGTGATAAATAGAAACGAAAATATTCCAAACAATGAGATTTACATCTCGGCGATTTTCACATTAGGGCAATGTACGATCCGTTAACTTTATTTTGGGACGTAGGTTTCAAAAAGTCATTACACACTTGCATGTACCATTATACACTTGTGCAAAGGTTCACATTAGCTTTGGCCCAAATGAATCACTGTAACGTGGAACATGTGCAGTAAAGCACTTCTAAAAAAGCACAATTAAAATTATTTCCAGTTCACTTTTTTCAATTCACTTGTGCGAACGCAATTAAACTGTATTCAACGTTCATATCCCCGTGGAATCTACCCCTATTGCAAATGCATACCCCATTGGTAATTAAATAATTGTAATCTTACCATAACTTGGCGCTAATAGTAAGCTGTGCGTATGCAGGGGACTGCTAACCACGATTAAATGGCTTTTCCAAGCAGGATCGGCATTACCAGATTTAAAAATCACGATAAAATATATAAAAGTCTGCAATAAACATTTATATTTAATTAAACTTTTCAAAATTTCTTGCCCAAACTTGAGCCCGAACCCTTTCAGATTGATGGAAAGCTCACACTTTATACCTAATAATAGGCAAGACTCTGCCAAGCCGAAAATCATTTTAATCTTTAAGCAATTAAAACTGTATTTCGTATATAAATAATCAAATAATTTGTTAAATCTTAACAAACTGATAATTAATGTAAATGAGAAGGATTTTGAAAATTCAGATCTGTGGATAATACTTAGTAAACCTATTGTACACAGGATGAGTCAGCGAAGCGAGATCCCTACAGGGTAGGGTAGATTGGGTAGATCGTACAGGAATAGCGACTGAAAAAAAGGCGTTTATATAAACGTTGAAAGCATTGAAGTGTTGTGGTTGTTGCACAATTATGCCAGTCAAGTTTATTTTTTTAAATGGAATTTCCTACGTTTTAATTCAGAATCAGGTTCTACATTGAATTCCAAGTATTTTTTGTAGAATATACTATGTGACTGAACTCAATAGTTTAGGACATAGCGGGCGTTTATAACATGGAAACGCGACAAAATTAAACTCTATGATTATTAGTTTTCCTTATTAATAGATTATATAAGTTTAAAGGAATTAAAACAAATGTTCTGTTTCCGTTTTTGTTTTGAGTTTTGATCTGTTCCCAAATTATATCGTTTATTTTATTAAAAAAAAAGTTTGTTGCGTTTCCATATTCAAACGTCGTTATGACCAAAACCATTGAATTAATTCACATAATATGTTATACAAAAAATACTTCGAATTCAATGTAGAAACCGAATCTGGATTAAAAAGTAGGCTGTTCCATTAAAAATACTAACTCTGACTGTCATAACTTTATTTTGAGCCATCATGTATAGTTCAAGGTAACAGAAAAATTAATTTTGCGACAACCATAACACTTTTATTTGAACGTGTTTTTTCGGTCGCTATTTCGGTACGACCTAAGACTCGCACGTCTCGCTTCGCTGAATCACGCTGTATATTATTAAATCTTCATTGCTCTAAATGAGCAATTCGAGAAAAAAATGTTTTGAAATTTTCAAATTTGGGGCAAACAATAATTATTATCTTAACATGATTATACTCAATTTGATCCTGATCTTCGACTTGCATTAAAAATTTCTACTTCTCATTGACTAATTCTAATAACTTTGTAGGCATTCTGAGGATATTTCGAGCTTTTCGATAATTGAAGAATACTTTGCGAACTTGGTCGTCAGCATTTTTAAAAAGATAATTTATTATTTACTTGATAATTCTTTCCTAAAATGTCTTGTAGCAAAATGTGCAGTGCATAATTATTGAAACTAATAGGCTTTGCCGATTCTTTCATTTAAAATGGCCGACACATACACAATATCTAAATAATATAAATCCAGACTTAGTATATAGGCGCCAAACCTTTATTGGTGTGAAATCACTCATTTATATGCATATGCGAATAAGCACGTAATGTAATAAACGTTTTTTTTCTTCGATTTTTAATTGAAGTTTTTTTATTCCTGCAATGGGTGCATTTGTCCTTTGAATTATTTGCACAACTATAAGCTATGCTCCTAAAATATTTACTTGGACGCAATACATTTATAAACATTTAAAAAAATGATAATGTTCACTTTTTTCGGTGTCCATCTGTAGGTACATATTTTATATATTTTTCGAAATAATTTCAGGCAGTTTCAAGTAAGGATTAAAATATCTTGGTTTAAACAAATTTATGATTTATGATCTTTATGAGTTCTTATGCGGGTTCTAATTATGTAATAAATTATAAAACAGAATTAAAATAGATATTTTAGATCATAATCGACATAAATCACTGACGGATAGAAAAATGTACTAATTAAACTATATTTTAAACAAATGATTAATTAGCGGCATCGGTTTTCTTTTTAAAATTAATAGTAAGAATATCGTAATTGTAATTAAAAATAAATAACAATGTATATTGCAGACTACCATTTACAGTCAACAAACATCGCACATAACAAAATTTGTTTTAATAATGAAAATATAGATTTGTAAAGTATTAACCCAACGGCATGTTTAAATTGCAACCACAATTAAATCGCAAACTGAATTAAAGGTACACGTAACATTTTATAGTATTTTCAGCTTTGTAAGAAATATCGCTTTGTTTTTAAAACACGTCCTTTACAATTCATAAAATAATTGTTTTTGCTGCACAGAGAGCTTCAAACCGAACGCTAGAAAGTTTGATATAAACACTTGGTGTCAAAGAAATTTGAAATTAAATGTTTTTGATTGATATTATTCAGCAGACGCTTTACAACGAACAGTATAATAAAATAATTTTGCTGCAGCTTTTGTCTTCTTCAAAAATGCACTAATTGGCCATTCATTTGAATCGGCAATCTTCCAAAAGAAAAGTTCTCATAATAAATTATTTCAAGCCATTAAAAATGTTTCTTACAAATGTACTGAAGTATAGGGAAATAAATTGAGTTTCCAATTCGCTTGAAAATGTGTTAACATAAGCCACAAATGTGTTTTGATATTGATTCAGTTTCTTGAAGCACAATGAAACTTTTTTCACAACTTTTTTGTTTTTTTTTTGTTCGCTTCGTCTAGACAGGTTAAAATGTATTTTTGCAATGATTTTGTACAAAGTCGATATTCGACCGTTTTAGAAAATTACTTCAATTTTTACTTTTGAGTGTACGGTAACACTGTTAAAATATGCATTTCTCAAAACTGGGAAAAATTATCGAATTTAATAAGACCCGCTACGTGTATAGATTTCAAATCACTACTCGTGTATACCAATAATCAACATTAACTAAAAATTACTCACCAAAATGTTTCATTGTGCAGATGATGGTTCCGCATTTCATTGCTCTCTTTGTTAGGATGTTCTGCACTTTTGCACAACACTCACGCACTAAAAGTTATGCTCGCGAATACAGAATACCATTTAATTTGTAAAGTTTTGCACTGATCGGAATCAATTTTCATATCATTTTTATGAAGATACAGCGCATCAGCAAGTCTGGAACAAAAGAAAATTTGTATAAATTGTTTTGTATACGTCCTTCCTCGAATAAGAAAATGAAAGTTTATCTACTTCCCAATATGTTTTCAGGCAGTTTAATAGTTTGACGAATATTTAGTTACACAGTTACAAAGTTACTTTGGTTTACAAATTATGTGTCAAATTTTTGTTAATTAATTAGAAAATTACTGGCTGAGAGATTATTATTGGGACTCACTGTATGGTATTTTGTATTAAAGGATGTGCCAAATGGCACAAATTGACATTCAATGCTATTTCATGAATTTATTTCTGTTCTGATCTGATTTCTGATATTTCATGAATTTTAATCTGATGTATTTACTCCTTCAAGTTGCTAATAACTAGATATCCATGAGTTTACTGAAAAAAAAAGCAAAATTTCAAGCACGTTTCAAGCAGCACGAGTGCGAGTCAGACGAGTAACCGCCAAAGGAAAGTACTTCTGAAATACTAATAACCGGAACAATTTTAAATGCCAGAGCCTTAAGGTGATTCTTAAATTCCTGGTTGTAATGCTGTTCTTGAAAATGTGTAGAAAATACATCAAAACGACATCAATTCGTTACCTGATGTTCAAGTTACCATTATCACTTAAGTTATTTATGTAACAGTTTTCACAAAACCATCTTAAAATCAATACACTATTCCGAACGTCTTAATCCGCGTACAACAAAGTATTAATTTCACCCACAAACTTGCATGTCGAGACAGCATGGACAATGTAATTTGTTTACGTTAACTCCTAACCAGTTTTTTTATATTTAGGACCGGCTAAAATGGTTCACAAATGTTGCATATAAATCTGATTCGATATGTACAATTTATTGGGAATATTTTTTTCACGAAAAAGCTGTTCATATTTAATTATACAGCACGGAATATTTTCTTAGGGTAATTAATTTTATCCTATCATTATTTTCTACAAGCTTTAGAAGCATTTAACAAATCTTGACGAAAATCACTGTAGGCGAAACACAGTCGGTACAGTCAAACTTTTTATATATTTCAACTGATAATTAGAGCAAAAAATACCTTCACTAACTGTGCAACTTTGCTGAACTCGAAGATCGTTCATAGAGCAACAGATTTTTTGTTTTAAAAAGACAATGGTTCTAATTGACTAAAATTTTTAATTAAGTTGGTAAATTGAATAAAATAAAATAAAACAGTGAAATTTATTTTATTTAGGTGACAAATATCTAGAATTTTGATAGCTGTTTTTATGAAACAGATGTTACAAAAATTATAATTAAATTCCTGTGTGTTTTTTGCCTAGCTTCTTAACCCAAACCAAGAAAGATTTCTGGTTTAACGCTTTAGTTGACAAAGGGTGGGTGCCTGACAAATTGCGCTAATTATAGAAATGCGCACAGAAATCCACCTTCAGGTTCTTTACTTAAGAAGCTTTTCAGGTGGGTTTCCAAATCAAAATTTAACTTTTCTTTACCGTACTGGAACTTATCAAACAACTTTTTTTCCTTCGCTTACTTCTTTCAAACTTTCCGACGGTTGCTTTGTTACGATTATAGCATATGCAAGTATGATCGTTGGAAATCATAAATTACCAGCGTTTGTGAAACAAAATAAGGAAATGTGTGCAAAAATTGCAACTAGAATTTAGTTAACTCCAAGTTTGGCAGCGTTTTTTTACTAGCCGTGGCGTGTTAGGCTAATGGCTTTATTGGTCTTATGTTTACTGTGGAAATGATATTAAAATATCGCGTCCATGACCCGATTCTTAAACGATTAACTTCATATTTATATTATTTGGAGAAGAGAAAACGGGCCAGACCTTTGCTGAAATACCATTTTGTGACAGTACGGATATAGCACTGGAGTAATTAACAAGACGGATTACAGAAACTAAGACAGTTTATAGGGCAGTAACACGCTTCCACTGTGGCAAAACAAACATGGGACCGTCCCTGTTGTCGCGACCCCTTTCACCGGAAGGGTAGAAAGTGACAATGTTCTGTACATCTGGATTAGAGTCAGCCAGAGGGCAAGTTGTTCCCAGATGTCTGTAATCAGATGTTTATAATTATGTTAAGTGACAATGGGATAGTTTGTAAAGCCGCCAATAGCAATTAGCCCCAATACGGAAACAAAGCGAATTAAGATAGAAGATCAACATTCATCTGAATTATGCAAAAACAATGGAAACTACAACAAAAATAGCAAGA